GTCTTACAATGGGCCTGTAATAGAGGGCATTGCAACATATTCAAATACCCTTAAAACTTGACTTGTCTTATCTTTGTTTTTTAAGATAGCAACTGTCTGTTCACTAAACCCTGCCTGCTCACTCACTGATGCAAGCTTTTCATCCTCTCATGGAACACATGGAGTTTTACGGTTATCACTATTATCATTTAAAATTCACACTAGTGTTTGGAACCACGGACCTGTGATTGTATCCAGGAGTAAGCAAAAGCAGCTGTAGCTAGCTAGCATAGGCTAATCTTAATGCTAAAACATTGGCTGAAAACTCTTTCCAGCTAACCTTTTAATGTTTCCAGGCGATCTGTTTTACAACAAAAAGCATGAAAAGGGTTTCAAATATGCTCATGATGACTGTGTATACAATACCATAGCATCTTTACCAGCTGATCGCCCATAGAGGACATGGAAATTAAAGAACAGCGCTGACTGTGTGTCACCGGGTAGAGCTAATTAGCCCTAGTATTATAGAAGGGTTAAAGCCTTATATAGGTAAAATTGTAATCACAGTGTTACTTGCTCTATCATAACTCTTGAATTGGATGCTTTCTACAGAAAAAGATACGAACAGATTTATGCTTTACTGCTCATATTTTTAAAAGTATAATTTATGTTTACAAGAGAAAAGAATTTCAGGCTGAGGACAAAGTGATGAATTTGCAAATGTAACACTATCTAACACAAGTTTGAGTGGAGTTGCTGGAGTGTAAACTTCCTCACACCGAATAAAGGAGCAGGACAGATCTGCTATTGTTAAAGTAAACTCTGAACTCTACAGAAGCACCCTCGCTCCCACGCAGTTGATTTTCCAGTCATCAATGGGTATTTTTGTAACTTGTAACCAAACATAATAACACAACAAGTCAGCTGATGGTACTCTCCTTGCCTTTGGAAATAAGGTTTCTGTTAATGTCTGCAGCTTGTACAACAGTCAACTGCAGAGTATGTGGTACAATGTGGACAAACCATTGGTATCAGAGAAGAGCGCTCTGCAGTAAGGTGGGGAAACCTTACTCTGTTGAAATATATCACTCCTTACGAAAAGCCCTATCAGTGTTTCTATTCAGATTATGTGTTATTGTTGGTAAGGCAGGTTGAATGGAGGGTTAAGAGTGCAAAAAATACAGATCAGACAGTATTTCACTAGGGATTATTTTACTAACTTCAAGTGAGACGAACATGCAATCCTTTCTTTTTGTTTGTTTTGTTTTTTTGACCTGCAAACCAATTTTGTGTTTTGTACTATGTGTCACAGATGTAATTGCTGAGGACTTCACAGCAGGGGCAAATTTGTGTTGAAATGACTGGCCAACCGGGAGTTTGCAGGCAAAGAGCAGGCCACTAAAGAATAAAATGTTCATCTGTATTCACTGAAATGACAAAAGACCAATTGACATAGAGAAGGCAGATGAATAAACAAAAGAAGGTAGCATAGACAAAAGACTAAGAGATGTGACCGGTGAGGGCTGAGATAGTCAGGAGAGGAGGTAGGAAAAAGACATTCACTACATAGTGCACAACATTTTTTTATCTGCCATTTCATTGTAGGGTCTTAATTCTAAATGTGTGAAAATTGATGCAGTATATAGTACCCTCACAAATCCAACAATGGAACAAAAAAAGCAGTGTCCATGGCATGAACTGCCAACAATCCCACAATGCAAGCCATTAAACTCAGGAGAAGTAAAACAAGGTTCTGACAGACAAGTAAAAAAGAAGACAATGGGGGAAAATTGAGGAGGAGGGTGAGAAGAAGACAATAATGTGGAGGGAAATAAAAAAGGGAAAGACTGAGAGTTTTACATTTGGAAGCTGAAGAAAGAGAAATGACAAATGGGACTACATGTAAGAGAGACTGAGCCTCCAAGTTGAATGTCTTGTGAAGCTGAGAAAGAAAACATGAAAGCAGGAGGAGGAAGAAAGGACCAGAAATTGAGAAGGGAGGGACAACAAAGAAAATGAATGGAACAGAGGGGGGAGAATAGAGAGGAAAAGAAGAAAAAAGGCAGAGAGACAAGTGCTGCCCTCCAGAGAACGGGCATGCTGTAGGTCAGCATCTACTGAGAATAATGGGCCCTACTTTAGAAGGACACGCGCACACAAACACACATGCACACACACATCCGGATGCTTGCTCATACAGTTCACGTTTGAATGAAACTAAACACCTTTCGGGGGCTCCTATCTGTCTTTGTCAATAAAGTTCTGTCAAATATGATTAATCCACCTGGATATCATGAATTACAAACTGACCAGTCCAGGAAGCTAACATGATTACAATCCCCTGTGTATGTAAGTGTGTGTGTATACACATTTGCAAATATGCCATGTGTGTATCAGGGTATAAATGTGTGTGACTGCAAATGTGTGAGGCTGCATAATACAGAGTACTTATAATAAAGAACACAGCTGAAGTATTAAGAGGGGAAAAAAAGGCAGAGCCAGGAGGGAGTGAGATGAAAATGACCACAGGAGGATAAAAAGAGGAAAGTGGAGAGCAAATGAAAGAATACGGTAATATGGTGAATACTTAAAGTGAAAAGTACGAGGAAAAAAAGCCACAGTGAGAAAAGGGGAAAACAGGAGAGAGAATCAAATTAGAGCACAAAAAAGTAAAAAAAAAAATGTCTGAGAGAATAAAAAGAGAAACAGTACTGAAAGAAAAAGAAAATTAGATGGGAGAAGGACAGAGGAGAAACCCATTAGAGGAAAGTGAGAGGAACTGAGGGATGAGGGCCTTCCAGATGGTAGGAGACTGTTGCCTCGGAAACACAGAGAGGGCAGAACAATGGGGATTTGGAGTGGTGTTTCGCATCCCATCATAATACGGCCATGCCATTTGGAAACTGAGCAATGAATCGACAGCCAAAAACTCGTGGGGATAGACAATTTACTGCAGGAGGCTCCTCAAAAATAAATCCTGATCAACATGTCAAACAAGAAATGAGCCGATGGATCAACAAACTAAGAAAGACGCTCTAGACTACCATGTCACAGGGCTGCATGTCCTTCAAAACCTTTGTCCGTGTCATTGCTCTTTTCTCACTGCATTGATTATCTCTCTTGCCTGTTACACATCAACTCCCCCCACCATGACATGTGCACACACAGAAGTTATAGTTATCCTATGATGTGATAAACTATACTATCTCTTAATCGGATTAGAAACGGCAGGAGTCACAGTACAAATAGAAACCCTTGTATAGTGTCAGCAGCTGACGAAGATAATAACCGAATAAAAGAAAATGTCTCTCTAATATGCAGTTATATAACTTTAATACAAGAATTCCTATTTCCATATTTCAATCCTTTATTAAAACACTAAAACTAACTAACTAACTAACTAACTGTCCAAAAAGACTGAAGAAAACCTGCAAGTAAAGACATATAAATTTGTATAAATTGCAGTTACATCAATGTTATAGGTTGTATATGCAACTCTCAGCCTTGCAGCAAATTTTTCTTAGTGGTCACTCGCAGCATGGCAGTGAAAAAACCCCCAGCCCAGAAAGCATTTCCCGATAGACCATCATTGTAAAAGACTTTTTACACTGATGGTTTGATATTTGTAAAACTTTCCTTGAGCCCAGAAAATCATTTTCAAAATCTGTGACGTCATCACAATGTCAAGTCTATGAGCTGAGCAGAAACTTTGGGGCACTAAATTTATGATATGGGGCCCCGAATTTGATGAAGTTACTGTTTATTAGACCACAAATAAAAAAAAAAAAAAATCAATCAGTGTTCTCCGTAGTCCTTCCGTCTCACTCCCCACTGCTCGGAGATTGCTTTGTCGGGAGGAGAGCGGACGGCAGCTACGAAGACGGACCTTCAGTCAGCAGCTGTAGCAACTCAAATTCAGCCAGCACAAACCTGAGGGGTAAGTAGCGGTACGTCGCTGAGCTGCTGCTGCAAAATGTATATAACAGGAACACAGCTTGTGTGGACTCTGTTGTGGTGGGTGCCAGTTGTTTGTTGACACTGACAATAAAAATAATTGATAGATGTAAAAAGATAAACAGGCAGCACAACCTTTAAATAAAAAAAGGACATATTTGCAGGTATTTTGACTCCTCTGAAATGCACAAACTACATATTGTGTTCACCAGCTTTAATATCAGAGGAAATGACCTTGTCGCAGAGAGAACCTCTAGAAAATAGCAACTCTAAATGAAGCCATGAGTCATGTTAAATGGTGCAAACCAAGTCACTAGCAATAACAACTTTTAGACATTAAGTGCAGCAGCCATAGAGACAGATTGATCACAATGGTAATGAATTGGCTGCACCTTGTAAGTTCATGAATGGGCCATGTCCTTCTATACTAGCTGAAATTCTTCATGACAGTCCTTTATGGCAGTATCACACATACCCACTTATACGCAGTGTAGTGGGTGACTTCCTGAAACATCATGAAATCCATTACTGATATCCCATTGAAATAGCCTCCATTATTTCACATCTTGAGCCAGTAACTTGGTTTCCCCCCTCAGCAAGATGTAATCGTTTCAAGCTGGGGACATTTTGCTCTGTGCAAGACCACAGGATACAAATTGCTGACAAAATTACGATCCCTCAATAGCCACTAATTTGGTGCATGAAGAGGAATTTGAAATAGTGCTTGTAACAGGGAGATGGGGGATTGTAAAGTCATGGTTTCACATAAAAGGACTATTGAGGAAGGACATGAACACACACGCAGACATATGCACAAACATGATCTCAGTATCTGTGTGGTACCTTAAGAAAAGCTACAGTTGGCACTATACCTTTGAACATGCAACTATGTAACCCATTATTGCTCTACAATGACTTTAGTAGTGAATATAGGACACTGGAGCTGAAGGTAAGTATGTACATCCATTCACCAACTTGACCACCACAGCTTCACTGCTTTATTTTAATGTCAAACCCATGCCTGCTGCAGTAACATGAGCTGCTTCCTGTTTCAACGGATTCATAAATCATCATAACAACTTACTGTGCATTCCATTTGGCATCAAACAATTTGATATGAGCTCAGTTTTTACACACACTCATCATGTTGGCTTTCATAATGTATGTAATTGGGAGACAGAACTTTGCATGCATGCAGAAACACATTTATTATCATTTAACTGTCCAATAGAACTTCGAGAATTCCTGGAAGAAAGAAGAAGCTTGTAGCAGCGCAGGAACAGCAGATGGTCATTAGACTGTTGCCAGATGTTAACATTTCACAGCTGCAACTGTTGAAATGTATGAAGCGCGGTCCATCTTCTTGTTCTATAGACAGACATAAATAATAATGTAACATTCCTTGATGTGTTTCCCACATTTCTGGTGATGAGTTAACTGCCTAAAAGTATTGACAAACCATTGCCAGCCCTTAAAGAAAGGCAAGTAAGATGTGATATAAGTTTTCAAAGTACAAAGTCAGTAATCAGCCAAAAGTCAAGCTTCACCTGGGTGCCATTCTGAAGCTAAGCAAAATGTGTATGTGTGTAGATTTCACAACTTGTTGCAAACCTCCATCACGAGCACAGCATCAGTTTAAGGTGAAGTGTGTAAGATTTAGGGGGACATCGTGGTGTCTAGCAGATTGAAACCAGCTAAAACTTCTCCTAGCTAGAATTCCTTAAGCATTGTGTGTCCAGGAGGTTTTTATCTAGAGGTCTCTGACTCTCTAAAACAAACTGACCAGGTAATTAAAACAGCTAAAAACACTGAATGAAGCAGTTTCATGATACAATTCACTGAATCTCTGACTATTCAACCTCTTTTCTTTCATAAGTTAATGTGTACTCACTTTTTTAAATCCAGATGTTCAGGAGGTGTGTACCGTGAGCAGAACTATCCACGGAGGTCTCTTCCTTTACAAAACAAACAGGCGATTTAAACTAGTAAAAACACCGAATAACACAGTTTCACATTACAAATCCATGTATTTCCGACGCAGTTTGGCATGTAGCTGCAGGTGGCTAGTCCAAAAAATGCTAATGTGTGGTCACTTTTTTTCTCCAATAACTTTAGATCCAGACGTTCAGGAAGTTTTCACAAGAAGCCTAATTATCTACAAAGGTCTCCTCCTCTTCGAAGCAGCCAGACCACATGATATAAACTGCTGTAAACACCGAATAAAGCAGTTTCATGTTACAAATCAGTGTAACTCCAGCGCTGCTCATTGCAGTTGGGCCTCTTACTACAGTGGCCAACATGAAGCCATGTGAAGCCACTGTTGTTTTTGTCCGATCTGGACTTCTGTAGAAACATGGCGATGTCCAAAAACAGACTCGCTCCCTATGTCGATAAAAAGAGCTCATTCTAAAGAAGGAGAACACAACAATTCTTACTTCCAGGTCATTATACACCAAAGAAAACATACTTATATTATATTCTATTTCTGCTAATATATCCCCCTATCCTAAACGCTGGTCCTTTAACATCAGATTAACTCCAGCATGCCCCAAAAACCTGTTAAACATTCACCAGCTGGGACCTGAAAGAAAAACTTCCTCCCTCACCCCGGGGTCCAGACATATGAAAGCATATCATACTCTTGTCAAGCAGGGACCCTATGGTTCAGCAACACATTATGGGTTGTAACCCAACTTTTTAGAGTCTATGATCAAGATCAAAGCTGTGACCAGAACTCTTTAAAGCAGTGACGGGTGAACACATCAGAAACACTAGAAGCTAGGAACAAGATAGGGTCAAGAGAGAAAAAGAGAGGAGGAAGAAGGGGGTAGGCAGTCTATAAGAGGCAGGGTCTTTCTTGGGACCCCCTTCATGGCTAACAAACAAGCAGAGACTCGATGAGTCCAGAGACACACAAAAAAACAACTGGACAATGGGGTGGATTGTGCAGCAGTTGTAAAGTGGTCTGGGAAACTCTCAGGCCTGGTTGGGAGGTCTTCTCAAGAGAGATAGAGAGACAGAAAGAGAAGTGAGAGACATTCCCATTTCATCCCCCCCCCCCCCCCCCCCCCTCAGCAAAGTGAAACAATATTCAACAATGTCCTTTTCACCCCAAGTTCAGAGAGAATGAGAAGCAGAGGAGGAGGGGGTGAAAGAGAGAAAGATGCAAAGAGGGAATGGCAGAGTGGAGAGAAATAAATGAATAAATGCAACAAAGAGAGACACACGGAGACAAGAGTGCAAGACACTGAACATAACATCTGCTTTCTAATTACTAACCATCCAATTATCATTGTAATGAGGAAGTGACAGCCTTCCCAGAAACCTGAACAACAATTCTGATTGGTTCTTTTTAATCCAATAAGAGTAATAACAAGGACAAATGGGTAAGGGTGTTTAGCTAATCCAATTGGGTCATGGCTGTTTTGAACAACTGATCGCTGTTATCAACAGAGATCCTTGGAGAGTGGAATTGTGTTGTTAATTAAAGTTGACTTAGTCCAGTCCTATGTGCTTTAAAACTCACATACATTGGATTAGCTCATGAATTGATGGATATGAGTGGGTTATAACACATCCATGTAAATCATCACCTTCTGTCATTATGGTGTTATTGTCCTATTTTTCATTAGGGTTAATGTTCCTGTCACACCTTAATATATTCTCATACAATACTTCCAATGATACCTGACAAAAAGTTAGGCATACAGTTGCCAAGATATCTTATGAATCAGCACCCCTACCAGTTAGGGTAAGGAAAACGTCATGGTTTGGCACTGTCACATTTTGTTTGATGTAGGGCTGGGCAATATGGCTTAAAACCAATATTGCAATATTTTTGGGCTATATCGCAAAACATTACATAGATCTAGAATGGAAAATCTCCTATGAGCTACTGAAGACTACTAATTGCAAAATCATTAAATGAACTAGAGTTCATTAAGTGTTGTTATAAGTAAATGAATCAAAGTGGATCCACTGGTGCTTTTATTTTGAAGCACCCATCTCATCTTGGGCCAGAAGTGTTGATGTTATTGCTGTGAACTTTAAGTTTCTGGTCAACAGATGTAAGCAGAAAGTTTAACTGTTGCCACAGCATATTAATCGTATTTGTAAGTCCCATGGGTGCTCCATGGTCGCAAAATGCGACTAAAAAGTCATGGTCTGGAGCCCTACACTTGCACAAACACATGCTTCACCTGCACACACTATTGTTCAACACATTAAGTTAAGCTGTTACTGTGGTGCCAATAAACATGTTAATTTATTCACTGTAAGCTGGAAACAAGCCAGAAGCTCTCCAGTCCATATATTAATAATATATGCAGTCACACTGGTGCTCCATGGTCACAAAATGTGACTATATAGCAGCAATCTGGAGCCCTGAAGATACAAAGACAATCGTTTTGCATTTTAACATTGTTACCAGTAAAGATGAGCCTAGTGTGAAATCTGTCAAATTATTTTTTTGTTTATTTTATTTGTTTATGTGTTTGTTTATTTGGCTACAAGTTTGTAGGTGTGTTATGTGTGTATGTAAGAGATGGAGAGAATGTGTAAATGGGGCAGTAATGGTGCACACATGGTGGGGGGAGCAACCTGCTAATGTTGATCATACACACACTCTGATAGCCATCTACTGACCTCAGAACGACCCAACCTTGCTCTCTCTCTCTCTCTCTCTCTCTCTCTCTCTCACACACACACACACACACACACACACACACCACACAGTAGGCATGTGAGCAGACAAATCACTGAAGTTGTTTCATACAGATTCAAGCATTAATACATGCCCAAACATTAACACAAAGTTGTTAAGTGGTCAAACCATTAAACATCAACTTTCCAGGTTTGATTCCAGCCAGGGATGTTTGCAGAATGGCACACACCTCTTTCTCTTTCTCATTTAGTCTCTAGACACTCTTAACTATCTAATAAAATGAAAACATGCAGCTTTAATTCATGCTTGCTCATGAAGCCCACAAATGTACTTTCTAGTCTTAATCCTCAACAAATGTTTTCCAGTGTTTAAAAAACTGGTTCTCCCATGGGTAGAGGTATAGGGACACAACTCTCAACAGCAGGCCTTTGTTTCAGTATAATAACACCACAGAGAGAAAGCGAGATGGAAGGGGAGAAGTATAGGAAAAATGGTGAAATACAGAGAGAGGGCAAGATGTGGAGGATGGGGGGCTGAAGAGGATGGAAAGGTAATATGAAGAAAATGTCACTGAGAGGAGACCTTGGGTGATATGAAGTGTTGTGTCCTCCCCTTTTTCCTTTCCTATGTTGTCACTTTTCATTTTACATGAAAAACCTACATTTTACAGCTCTTAAGAAAACTACTTTGGCAGACTAAGAGTGTCAACAATGCTATTTTCTGAATTATGAGCACAGTGGTACTGGATGTACAAGCAATGCAAGTATTGGATGTTTGAGGGAGTTACAAGTTGCTGGTGGGTTAAAATCACTTGCAGAAAAATGCTACAATACTTAACATGCATTAATATTTTGCACTAAATAACGTAAAACATTCATTATTTTCCATACGTGATAATTCTCATCATGCACCACATTTTATGTCATAAAATTGTTGCAATGTTTAAATACATGTTTAAATAATCTAGCCAAAATTTACTTAACTGTCTGTGTGTCTTTTTTTCCCCTGAAATATTTAATTATCCAACCACTAAATAGTTTTATAGAGTAGCAAAAATACACAAGATACCCTTGACAGACTCCTCTCTATTTCATGCAGTGACATTTGCTGACAGTTTGCTAGGTAGTGTTTGTGCTTTAGGCAGGGAAACATCATCCACTGCTGGGTCATGTTTTAATTTTAGAGCCATCAAAATCCTGTCTCACACAGATAGTGCGCACACACTCGCACACACGCTCACACAACGTACCCAGTGCTCCAGTTAACTGACTTAAGTCAAACATACAGTACCTGACTAAGCAACCCTACAGCTATTTATGGACTCACTTGGAATAATATAAACGTACACTCACAAATACACACATACACGACCAGGGTCCCACCCACACATGCATACAGGTATACAGGCATGCAGACACTAGATACACACAGCCTGCTAGCTATTTCTGGGCCCGTGGCAAAATAATATGTTTTGATAAGGTCAACAGCCTGGTTTCCAAACATGATCTCTTTCTCTGACTCTCCAGATGCTGAAATATCTCTCCAGTTAATTGACAGCGAGAGAAACGTGTAGACTGAGATGCAGAGGCGGTGAAAAAGGTAAATAAAGACAGAAGGAGAAAGAGATGAGACCCTTTCAGACATAAAATCTCTCAGAGGACAAACATTTCTGGGTTAATCTATGTATTTAGTAACAGCTTTTTGGCTTTCAGATGGCTGTGTTTACTGTGGAAAACTTATATTGACTCACTTCAATTATGAGAGGCTGTTATGGATAGAAGTGCAATGTTCACATAATATTTGGCACCAGCCACATGAGAATATGCAATACAAGGCATTATGAACTTGCATCTGTAAGACTGTTTACTGTTATCTCAGCCAAGAGTGGAAAGCAGTAAGAGGTCAGGCCAATGTACAGCCGTTTTTACAAAAATGGTTCAGCGTGTGTATTACAGAAAAGTTCCAAATCGCCTGCTTAAAATCTACAGCATTTAAAGCATCAAGTCCTAGTCCTGATTTGCATGCTACATGCCAAGAAATCCCATGTGAGCAAGCTATGTTATCTGCAATGTGACTGCTTTAAATCACACCTCGGCACACCATGTCGAAAATGTTTCAGAACTGTTACCAGGTTGTAATAAGGCAGATTATCAGAGTGACTTTTATGGAAAAATGACTCGGGTCCTTTTCAAACACGGGGCCTACATGTAAAATTGGCACAGCATTTTGGGATTACAGTGCATGTCTGAAAGTGGAAACAGAGACAGGGTGTACTGTATGTGAGTGTGTGTGTGTCCAATTTCCCAAGGCTTTTCAGATACCACAGCCAGACCTCAAAACTATCATCACTGTTCTCGCTCCCATCTGCCAAAGTCATCACCCACACAGATACTCTCCCTCTCTCTCCCTCTCTCTCTCTCTCTCTCTCTCTCTCTCACACACACACACACACACACGCACACACCCACACACACACACACATGAACGAAAGAGGTGTGAAATAGCCATCCCTCACCATTTTAACAGGGGTGGGAACCTGGCTATAAAGTTTCTAACGTTCTAAACTTCTGTCATTTCACTTGTTGACTCTCTCTCTCTCTCTCACACACACACACACACACACACACACACACACACACACACACACACAAACAAACATTTGTTGTTGGCTTGTTAGTCCGCTGAGGTGTTGGTGCTTGGAAGCAAAATAAAATGAGGTGAGAAAAAGCTAGTAACAACTTCTCAGAGTTTCTACTGTTAAAGTTCACACTTCTATTTTCACTTGAATACTTTTTATTTTTAGATACAGTAAGAGTTTACATTACAGTCCTACCAGGCATGTTCAGGGGATTTACTTAAGTACATGAGCGCAGTACTATTCATCTTTGGAAATTATATGAAAAAAAAACACACTATAAGAGGAGAAGGAATTAGGAAAGGAAAGTAGAAAAAAAATAAGGAGATTTAAAGATAGTGAAAGAGTGAAGAAAGAGAAGATAATTAAAGTTGAGGCCTTTTAAGCAGTGAAGGTGGAAAGGTTGCAAATGAAAAATGAGACGCTGAAACATGTCTTCAACTGTATTACACATTGAGAATAACGTTTTAAAATGGTCAGTGAGCAGCTTTTGTTCCATGCAAATTTCAAACAAACTTTTAAATAACTACAGCTGTTATGAAACTTAATATTTATCTGATTACATCAGAAAACACAACATGAAAAAAAAAATCCTTCAAGAATTGATTAGTATACTCAGGAAGCTGTTAGTGTTCTTGTGCTGGCTAATGTTAGTGATATTTCATGCTGTCCAGGAAGGGGAACAATAAAATACACTGGGTAACAGGCTAATGTAGGCTGCACAGAGATAGTCCTGTGGTTAAGTTCCCTGCTTGACTGTCAGGTCTGACCAGAGCTGTCTCTCCTGTGTCCTATTCTCTCCTGCCTAGTGGGGTATTAGGTCTGACTGAAAACACAGTGGTGAACTCCACTGGAGTATACTGGAAAACAAGAAAAACATGTACTAACTATAGCTTATTAATAGAACATAAATACGTTGTGCAAAGCCTTCAGTTGTGGTGTTACACTGACAGCATAAAATCCAGCACACTTAAAATGAAGCAGTTCTTTACCCAACATTGAGTGAACAATCCGTATCTCTTAAATCTATCAAATGGCATGACCCTTAAGGAAATATATATGAATATGAATTTCAACAGCTATCTTCAAATTTAAAGTCCTTTAATAGAAGTCCTGTGACGGATGCAAACACATGCATTTACAACATGCCGTCCAGTGAGGACCAAATTACACTGTCTTGGTGATATCAGGTCATGTTGCTGATTTGAAAAGGAGAAAACAAGCTGTGTGACATGAGCTAAACCTATGGTCGGGTGCCTTATCCTGTAGTCATGGATGCAACATGTCTGGTAGACTGTAGCTCTTGAAATCGTTTAATTTTTTCTATATCTGTTGCAAACGTTTAAAGACTTTATTGAAATTTCCTGCCTCTCTAGTTCAATGCAACATAAAGACACCAAACTATGATAACTGAGGGTTGAAAGTGGAGCATAAAGAAAATCAAGTGAATCCACTCATTACGAAAACTACCAATTGTGCATAAGGCAGGCAAAGTTTAGGTGGGGGAGTAGATCTAGGAGTCTGGGATCAGGTGTCAACCCCTGTCTGAGTGTGTGTTCCCTAGGGAGGGAATAAGGTGAGTTCCTGGCTTTGACTGAGGCCTCCAGAGACGCCCAGAAAGACATAGAGACTACACAGATTTAATTAGAGGCTTCAAAGAGAAGAGAAAGAAAAGAAGAGAGGAAGAAGGATACCTGCAGTAAAACATCTAATTTTTTTGGCAAACCTCATAAAAGGGAAGAAGACGCAGCCATACCTTGGTAAGGAGGCATACTGACGTTCCACTTCTTCATAACGTGGCGCCATACGATGATCTGTCCCTCTGCCTGGAATCTGGTGAAGAGAGACAGTTTCTTAGTTTGAATACCAAAATTTAATGTATTAAAAACAGCCTGAATTATATATCCCCCTGCCTAATGTGCTAATAAACTGCAAAACTGTGAGCCTAAGCATGTGCAGTGCATACCCATAATCCCTTTTGGTTGCATGTGTGTTTGTGAGTGAGTTTCTGTGGGTGTTTGTGATACAAGGGTTATTTAGGATTGACAAAGGCCAGTTATTAAGGATTTAGAGTTTCAGTCTTCTGAGGGTATATTTTGGGGGGTGGACAAGGCCTCCATCCTAGATTAGGTTACTTCAAAACAGGATGGAGTTGTCTCGCTCGCACACACACACACATACACACACAAAGTCACACATATACAGAGTTCCGTCTCATCTCCATCTTGAGAAAAAAAAAGATTAAGTCAAGCTGCTGACAGTTCAATCTCTCCTACTTCCTCTTTTGCTCATCACTTCACTGGTTCTCTCTCACCCTCACATCTTGTTCTCTCTTCCTCCACTTATTCCCATTCCTCTTTTTTTCCCTCTTGCACACACACACACACACACACACACACACACACACACAC